AATGCTCTGGCGTGTCTGGGAGAAGCTACGGCCAACCCCACACATCCCACCCCGTCACCAGCTGCTGAGAAATGGTGCAAAAAAAGGCATAAAACATCCCGCAGGCACCCCTACCCTCACTCTGCCCCTGTCCCAGGACCTGAGGTAAGAGGTTCTTCACATCCCAAATTACGGGGCGCTCGGGCAAAGCTTAACCCCTCCTGTAGCCTCCCCAGCCCCAACCTGAGGGGGTGCCAGGGCACGGGACAGTCCCGGTCTCAGGCGTAACGCCGGCACCGCGTGCACCCCAGTTTGGCTTCGTTGGGGTTCTCCCTGATAAAAAAACCGAGTACCCCCAGCTCAGCACTCCAGGGTCATCTTCAGCACTCACAGCATCTTGGGGGTCCCCTCTCCTGGGATGAGGGGCAGAGAAGCCCCCCCTTTCCTTCCACAGCTCCACACCCCTAAGAGGGGGGGAGACAATATTCCAGCAGAGTCTTCGGGGTACCAGCTCCCCCCAGGGCTTTCCCCCAAACCTGGGGCAGGAGGAGGAGGAGGTGGAGAGAGCAGAGGATGGTCAGGTCATGTAGCGGGTGACAGCCCTCAGGGCGTAGAGCAGAGCCGCCTGCATCCGAGCCTCCAGCAAGAGCAGGTTGACGTGCACCTACACAGGGAGAGCTGGGTCAGGGCATGGCGGGGTTCAGCTTCCCCCCCACACCCCGCTAGGGCTGAGAGGGGGCATCACCTTCTCTGAGTGCTTGAAGTGTCTCCAGAACTGCGTGTACGTCCTCTTGGTCGTCTTCTCCGGGTAGCAAGCCACAGTCTTGATGTAGATCTTCAAGCTGCGCTCCAGGAGCTGGTTCACCTCCCCGTAGTCGTAGTCGTCGTAACTGGGGGAGAGATGAGGGCCCGTTACTCCAGCCAGAACCCCATTCCCCATTTCTAGACCCAAACTGAGCCCCACCGAGAGCCCTGCCTTAGCAGCAACCATCCCACCAAGACTTGGTTGCAGGCTCCCAGGCTGGACCCTCCTCTACCCCAGGTGGAGAACAGGCTCTGGCCGGGGCTCGGGGACCTACCGGATGCCGAAGACGCAGTGGACGTAGTTCCAGATGGCCCTGCGCAGCATGGACGTGTCCACGCCGCTGTGCATGGCGATGGTGTTGTACGTCAGGTTGTAGACGACCTGGAACTTCTCGTCCAGGAGCTGCCCAGCGTCGGGGTAGAGGCGGTTGATCAGCGAGAAGCCGTGGTCCTCCCAGGTGTAATCCTGCCCGACGAAGGATGCTGGGGTAGGGGCTTGACGCAAAGCGTGGAGTCCCTTCAAAGCCACGTCTCCCCCATCACATTGATTCCCTCCCAGTTGTTAATACCCAGTTGCAGTCACTCAAACAGCTTCAGTCTGGTCTCAAGCCCTTCACCCTGTGCCCCCACACGCTGCCCACAGCCCTGGGAACAGCACCCAACTGTCCCCCCTGGCAAAACAAGCAGGACCCAACACGCAGCTCCCTGCCACCCCTTCCCCTCTGGCACGGGACCCCAAGCACCCACCTGCGCACGGAAAGTGGGAGGAGCCTGCTCGCCCCTCCGTGTGAAGTCCTTGTA